TTCTTTCCTAATAACCATTTTTCATTCCTTCCCCCAACCTTAGAATCCTCATCTGTACAATGGTAAGAGAGTCAGTCCTTCTGGCTCTAAGCCCAAGATTAGGCAAGGTCAGAAGTCAGCACTTAAGCATCCCCCTCTCCCTTGTAGTATGGGAAAGGAAAAGAAGCATTTCAGAGACAGAGACTTAGGGAGATCATGAAGCAGGGTTATAGTGGGAATAGGCTGAAAGGTGATCTCTCTACCCTTAGACTTCTAATTCCTGCTAGGAGAGAAAATAGCTCCCTACTCCTCATGGATGCCCATTGGAGAAAAACTACTATTGGGCAAGCTAACTGCAGTGGGAACCCTTGAGTCCCTAGCTCAAGGAGACTTGGATAGGTGCAACACTTTCTCATTGGGCACTAGCCTTCAGTCTTAGAGCTCTGGAATGAGCCCAGAATGGAACAATGCTACTGTTCCCCATCCATAGAACTTCATCTCACAGAACCTTGGGATGTGGCATCTCAGGGGTTCTCTGCATTAGATGTACAAGCTAAGGCCTTAGGAGAAAGGGCTGCCCAGTCCTAAGTCTGAGGGTGTTGTCCTAGTGTTTCTGCTCTGCAGGAGCGTGGGGGTGAGGTGGAAGCAGATTGGTAACAATAATAAACTCCAACATAGGCAGGGTATACTTGAAAAACTGGGTTAAATTTTTCTTCTCTGTCCCCCTTCAAGGACTCCTGCAAACAGACCTGAGTTGAGTAAGGCAGACTCTTGATTAATGTGAAGAAATCATGCAGGAATGTCTGCGCCCTGACTTGCTGTGTAATTGCAGGTCAGTTGCTTTCCCTCTTCAATGCTTTTTAAAAGGAAGGTTAGAGAGAACCTATCAGGTTAGATCAGCAATGCACAGGGAATCTCTGATCTTTCCCAGACTTAGCAACCTGTCTGAGCCCTGGAAGGTCTCCTTTTGTCCCAAGCAGGAGCAGGGAAATAGGCTGGATTTGGGTTTTGGGAGTTGATCACGGGCTCTTAGTAGAGCATTACAGCAACCCCAATATTCTGAAACTATTGTTACTCAGTGAGCTGGAGTGAGTGGTGGGAAAGCTGGGAGGTGTGTGTGTGTGTGTCTCTAATGAATTTAGGTCTCTGGCTACAGAGCAAGGTGGACCCTCAGAAAGGTGCTCTCAAACGTTATTCTCAATGGGCTTTCTTCCAATAGCAAACTTTCCAAGACAGTTCGATTTCTATAAATTGAGTTTCTTCTTGGATGTTTTTTTCCCCAAGTTTCAGGCCCCGGGGCCTAGCATCAAGCTGGGCCCAAAGCCCTGTTGCTGGGAAAAAGAAGCAGGGTGACTTTCCAGCGGCAATGTTGGACCTCGTTCAGCGCACCGACGATACCCGTTCCTTGCTAGCCTTTTTTCTTCTAGTTTCAGACTATGGCTCTGGGCATACTGCTGTGGAAAACCCAGCTCCACCAAGGAGTATCTGTGTTACCTCTGGCTAGTCCAGTAACTTCTCTGGGCTGCTGTTTGGTGACTAGTATGGCTTTGTAGGTAACCACGATATTGATATCCATCCGGTCTTGGCTTGCTTTTTGGATTTAAAAGTTCCCAGAGGGCAGACTGCTCCAGCAGGGCGTGAATAATCCCCACTCTCCGGAGACTTCATCTGCCCCGAACTCAGAGAGGTTTGGGAGGAAGCTGCTTGCTGCGAACCAGTTAGGCTGGTCCTGTGAATTAGGGTTCCTTCCAGAGACAAACACTACTGTGCGAAAAGGGGAATCGCTGCTGCTCCTGTTGGGATAATATCTACAGTTTCATCTTATCCCCAAAATGCCTCGGGGATTGTCTACAAGGCACAGGAAAAACAGCTTTCTTGGGCACTTCCCTGCTGGGTTCTTTGATTTGGCAGTATCCCTCCTCCCCCAACAGCCAGCCATCCCAAGTGGTCTGGGAAGGCACTTCTGAGAAAGACTTCCAGCCCACAACCTTTCTTCTACCCTGGATTTGTTGTGTGTGTGACCTTGGACAAGTCACATAATTCCCTCCTGGCCTCAGGTTCCACATCTGTAATGTGGGAGAAAGCACAACTTCACAACTCTTTCAGCACTAAGATGCTAGATCTGGGAGTGCAATAGGTGCAAGCTCAAAAAGTGGGGCCGGGGTGGGAATGTCACTTGCTTCCTCTCTCAGGGTGGTCCCACACTCCTGCCTCTCCAGTGAGAAAGCAGGGCTGTGACCTCAAGTCTGGCCTGGGGCTCTGAATTCTAGTGATTTCCAATCCACTGAGTATCACCAGATGAACCTAACTCAGGAACTCTAGTTCATCCCAGCCCCTTTCCTGTTTGATCTTCTTGCTCCAAAGCAGGGACTGGGAGTAGGGGAAAAGATCCAGACTGCAGGGGTTCAGACAATGGAGTGATAATGCCACCACCCAACCCCCCCCCCCACTGAAGGCTCCTGGGTCCCTAGAGGCCCCCATTGGGCCGTTTTCTGCAGCTGTGCCCTGGCAGAGATTATGTCAGCACCGGAAACTTATCTACCGGTTAGGGGCAGCTGGGTCTGGGACAGCCACAGAATGTGGGCCCCAACCTAGACCCAGTATAGAGGTATGGGGGTGCAGCAGGGGTAGAGAGAGGGAAGAGGAGGGAAAAATTAGACTGAGAATGAAGCCAGAGGGTGACCTAGGATCTTCCCAGGATTACCCGGTGCTCTATTCTTATAAGCCTGTGTCTATTGTGGGCATCTCAGAGTCCTTGTTTTGGTAGATTTATGTTTAATATTAGAGAAGTATCACTTATAATTTCAAAATGGTGAATCTTGGGGCCACCGCCAAGAGCTGCTAGGGCAGGGGAATGTTTAGTATCTTTACTAAGGCTGGGCCCTTGCACACAGTAGGGCTCAGAACTCCTAGATGAAGAATGGCTGACATGTGATTCCTTTTCAAGGTCCACTTACTTTGTAGTCCCAGTATAGTATACTCTCAAGAGTATAGTATACTCTTGAGAAATAGGCTCCCTGGTTAAAGACCTCTTCTTAGAAGAGTTTTGCTGGAAATCTACCTATTTTGCATAAAAGCTACAGTACCTTCTCTGGGGAGAGGAAGGTCAGATTTTCCCAACTGCTGGAAGCTGCAGCATTGGAGGACCCCTGGCACCTCTTTACTGGATCCTTACAGATAGAATGGGACTGCCCAGCTGCCTACTTCCAGGACCCTCACTAGCATTGGAGGCCGGGCTCCTTTGATTTACAAGAGGCCTTGTGCTGGAGGCAAAATTGCTCCTGCCAACAGACAGTTCTGTTTGTGCAACCTGGTCCAAAGCTACAGAGTAGCTTCTTCCCCAAGGAGAGTGCCAAAGAAGTGGGAAATAGCCTTTTCCCCAGTCTCCGCCTTTGGTTAATGCAGTATTGGGGGTCTGGAGGATAAAGTGACAATGGAGTAGCTGTGGCTTAGCAGGTACTTCATAAAATTGGGAAATGTTTCTGCCAGAAGGAGCCTTCATCACAAACTAGTTAACTCTGCCCATTTCACAGATGAAGAAAGTGAGGTCAGAACTGGCAGGTATCAGCACACTAGGAGTCCATCACTTACATTGACTGCAGGATTCCTACTGCTCTCCATGTCTTCCTCCAACATCCGTGCATGGTTTTGTTTTGTTTCTCCTTTTGGAGTCTATTCCCCTACTCTCATCTTTCACCCTCACCTTGGCTACCCCTCAGGGCGTCCCAGGGTCCCAGTGCCGAGGCGGGGAGGGAGGACCCGGGCGAGATCAGCAAGGGGACTCTCCTGGCACTGCGTGGGCCCTCTGCCCCTCCCTCTGCCCCCATCAGCGAACCACTAGGCCTTGGCCCCGCGCATTTGTCAATGAACGTGGCGCCGCCGCCTGGGCCCCGCCCCCCATTCTCTCCCATTGCCCAGGTATCCGCTAATCAGGCGGAGCCCGCGGGTAGTTTAGCCAATGGGGCGGTGTTTCGGGCCAGGACCTGAAGCTGCCATTCTGATTGGCTCCATCTGGAGTGATTGGCAGGTTAGCCCCCGCCCCGCCCCCGCCCGGAGGGAGGCTGAGCCCCGGGCGGCGCTGTCCACACGCAGCGGGTCCTGAAAGAGGCTCCGGGGCGGCGCGGTGGCGCACTGTGCGCGCCAAGCAGGCGGAGGGTTAGTGCCGGCGGCAGCAGCGGCAGCGTGGACAGTCAAAGGCGGTAGTGGCTTCCTCTCAGCACCGACAGTTCCGGCGGCCTTGGTGGCGGGGACCCTCCGGCTCTCTTCTTAGTCCCTCGCTCCTCGCCTGGGGCGGTTGCGGCGCTGTCCCGGAAGAGGCGGCTGGAAGGCAGCCCGAGCGGATCCCGAGAGAGGGCAGCAGGGTTCGAAGAGTTGGCAGGCGTAAGGCAGATAGCCGGGCGAGGAGGAGCCGGTCGCTGTTGCCCGCATTCCTGGTCCTAGCGTTGGGGGAACATCTGGGGGCCGCGGGAACTTTGAAGACGACGGGTCCCGGGGTTTGAGGCTTGCCAGCTCCTGTGGAACTCCAGAGTCTCTCGGTCCCAGCAGCAGTGGCAGAAGCATCTCCGAGCCCGCCGGGGCCCCTGTGCGGCCAGAGAAGAAGTTCTTTGCAACTTCGTCCCAGACGCCTGAGAGCCAGTTGCAAAGAGGCTGAGGGGCAAGTCGGAGCCCCAGGGACTCAGAGAAGCAGAGAGAGAAAGGATCTGGAAGAGACCGAGGGATCGAGGGGGGAATCCCAGAGCAGCGAGGCCGCGGAACCAGTCTGGCATCCCGCGGGCCTCGCTGCTCTCTGAGTGCAGCTACGGACTGCGTGTTCTGGTGCCTCCTCAAAGCTGCCCCCACCAGGGATCGGGGGGCTCCTAGACGTCCTGGAGGTGGGCCCCTACGCTATGTCCCCGAAGCCGCGGGCGCCTTGGCGGCAGCTACCCGCGGCTGGGCCAGGAGCCGCCGCTTGAGCCAGCCAGGGAGCGAAGCCGGGGGAGTTGGGCGCCGGCTCCCAGACTGTGCTAGCGCCGTTTCCCGCCTCTGCACAGTTCTCAACAATCTTCGGCAGGGAGACTGAGAGTGACCCCAGGTTCCAGCGGTGTTTTCTGAGCTCCGCTTGCACGGTGCCCAGCCTGGTGGCGTGGCTCCCTAGCCGCCCTGGGCAGCCCCTTGGAGCCGGGAGGCGGCAGCCTGGGCCGGCCTGAAGTCTGGAGCGCCCCGATGGAAATACACTGTAAGCACGACCCGTTTGCATCCATGCATAGTAAGTAGGCGGCGAGATCGCTTCTCTCACTCTCCAGCCGGGACTGGGTAGGGGGTGCCGGACCGCGGGGCAGGCACTAAGGCCCGGAGAACCCCAGACCTCTGTGGGTGCGTAGCCAACTTTGCAAAGTGCAAAGGCTCCTAAGCCGGGGACGTGGAACAACGGCCAGAACACTTGGTCTGGGAATCCCGCCTCCAGCAACGCTTAGTATAGGTAGTCAGCTGCAGCCTTTCCCGAGCTCCGGCAGCAGCAACTCAGAGCATCCGGAGAGCCTTGCCTTTAGACTTGTAGAGGGCTCCGGCTCCGGTCTGGGCCAGTTGGAGGGCAAGAAGTTACAGTGAGAGGTGAGTCTGACTCTCAGACCGTGCCCCGCACCCCAATCCTGATGGGGTCTTTTTTAGCCAAGGGGCTGATCAAAACTAGTACTTGGAGGGACAGTGAATCCGTGACCAGTTCCTGAATGTGTGAACGAAGAGGTTGAGAGCTAAGAGAGGACAGGGCGTCTGAGGATGAGGTCCTGGAGTTGAGGAGGGGGATTTGAAAAATCAACGAAGTCGTGGTCCCTGAGCTAATCATTGGCTTAGGAGACAGCCAGTTCATACAGAGACCCTTAAAGACCCCATTGAGTCCTTCTCTGTAGGACTCCTGGGTCATGATGGCTTCTTTCCTAGAAGGAAGGAAGGAAGGAAGGGAGAGAGAGAGAAAGAAAGGGAAAGTAAGAAAAAAGCCAATTAGTCACCATACAGGCAGGCGCCCCCGCCTTCTGAAAGCCGCTGAGTGTGTAGGAGACGGGAAGGGTCATTTTGGGCACGGGCAAGGCCCTTCTGGCTGCCTAACTGGAGGGATCCCGCCGCCAGTTCACCCATTAGCACAGCCTCCTGTGAGATGAGTGCTCCTCTCAGGGTGAGTTACCGCCGGATTAGATTCGGAGATTTCAAGGAAATTCCAAGTGGAACGAATCGCGTTTCCCTTCTGTTGGCTGTAGAGCCGGCTGGGGAGAGCGCCAGGCTTTGGCAGCCTTCAGTCGGATGCCCGGCGCAGGTCTCTTCGGGCTGCAGGTCAGGGTCTTGTTCCCTGGTTAGGAGCCCTCCCCAAGCTCTGCTCCCCTCCAACAGTCGGGGATCTGGCTTCCCTAACCATGGGTCCCCTATTCAACAAAGGCAGCAGAGACCCCGTTGGAGAGAAGGAGAACTTCCAGGGCGAGAGTATCTGTCTTACACGGAGGGCCGAGTGGCCTGGCAAGCAGGGGGAGGCTTGTCTAGGCAGGAGGACTGGCTAAAGGCAGGTCAATTTCTCTTTGTGTCAATATCCCGAGTCCGAAGTAATCCTCCGAAGCGGTGGGGCGGTTTGCTCAGGAAAGCCTGATGCTGTGGTCCCAACCCAAACGATTCTTCAGGGTTTGGGGCTGGTGCTCAAATGGTTTCTAGTTCATGGTGACCCCAGCGACTTCCACAGTCTTTTTCTGGTCAGACTTGAGCCTGGCTCTGGAGAAGCTCTGGTCTTACAGAGTGAACCAGAAAACAAGTGAATTGGGGGTAATACTCAGAAATGCAACCCCGTGGCTCAGCAGGAAGTGACTGGGGAATAAAATGGGAAGGACTGGCCTCTGTGCTTTTCCTTGGTGGCAGGAATCCACAGGCCCTCGCTGCTTCCTTCTACAGGGCGCTGGGTTGCTCAGAGGTAGTGCCTGAGCCCTTGGGGAGAAAGCATAAGACTTGATGGTCTCCCCACTGTGCAACAGCATGGAGATGGCAGCTTCTTCCAGGTGCTAGTTAGCCAACTGCTAATGTCTGTGCCTCCTTACCCTGGCCTTCAATCTGTCCCAGCTTTCCATTTTCAATTTCCCTGGCAGCACAGTGGGGCTGGGCACTAGCCAGCCTAGTTTTCAAAGTTGGTGCAAGTTCTTGTTTTCTTTATAAAATGCTTTGGTTCTGGTACTGAAAACTGTTTGCTTGCACAATATAGGCTTGCTTTGGTGCCCAATTTTTGGGTGATAAGGACGGGGTGGGGCAAATAGATCTTAGGAGATGGCTGGGATTAAAATAGATGCCTGGGCAAAGTCCCACCTCCTCCTCTTTCTGGCCCTGGTCAGCCCCTCCACCTTCTGAGCAGGATCAGTTTTGTGGAAAGGGGACAGGTACTGCCAGGAAATGGCAGGAAATGAATTCAGAGTTGTCCCACCCCTATAACATGTTCCTCATTCACATCACTCCCCCAAGATGTTTCCTTCTCCCAAGCATCTGTACCAGTTACAAAGCACTTCTGTAACCAGTGCCCTACCCAAGTGTCACCCAGACCTTCAGTTACACCCATTTTTATAGAATATGGTGCTGAGGTCAAACAGACAAAAGGACTGACAGTTCACATGGGTAAAGCTGGAGCTAGTTCTTGGGTCTCCTTGGCATAAACATTGGGCTCTGGAGAATTTATGGAAGTGGAGAGAAGGACTCAGACTCCAGAGAGGGCAATGGACTGTGAGGGTGAGTATACTTGTGCAAGGCTCTCACTCTGTGTAATCCAACCATATCTGTGTCAGCACCTATCTACCCATTGGAGAGTCCACTGGGGAGATTTCATCCCTGCCTTTTCTTTATGCTCCTGTTTGGATGTCTGTATACACTTCATTCTTCCTCTCTGGTGAATCTAGAAAGAATTGCACTGACCCTGTGGGTCCTGTAGTTCAATCCACAGCTGAGTCAGCAGAGACCCTCCCCTCAAGACATTCTGGACAGCCATGATCTGTGGGGTATGGGCAGAGCCTTGATGTGCAGCATGTCCTTATCAGGGCCTGAGTAGCATCTGTGGAGGCCAACCCCTTCCAGACCAGAGCCGCAAAAGCCCTAGGAACATCTTCAATTCAATCCTTCTTCCTTCAACTCCCTCTAAATCCCATTCTATCTGCCCTGTGAAAGCTGGTTTGTGTTTTCCTTGTATTTGTTTTCTAGTTTTGACCCGATTTATTTGTTCATTTCTGTGCCAGTCTCTCTCTAAATTGTACTTTTTCTGGAAAGTATAGCACTTTTCTAGTAAATGAATCCTCACTTTTATTGAAGTCCAGTAGCTAGAATACACAAGAAGCAGAGGCTGGGACTTGGGTTCTCCAAGGACATACAGAGCTAGAGTTGGGGGCCCCAGGAAAACAAAGGTCCCTCTTTACAGAAGTCTCTGTCTTGCGGATATCTCCTTCCTAGGCATTCTCTATTTTCTCTTCTTTTCTTAATCTGTTCTGGATTTTTCATTCCTTTTCTTCTCTGCCTGCCCAATCTGCTTTCTTTCCAAGAATGTTTCTCTTTGCTGTCCATCTCATGTAGTTCTTACTCTTTGTACCCTTCCCACATATTGCTCTTTTCCTCTTTTCTTTCCTCATCTTGTCTCCTCTCTTCCAGACTTTTGGCTTCCCTTCTTTCTAATCCCAGGATCAATGACTTTTCTCAGATCACAGTTGTAAAATTTCCTCACTGATACTCTCAAAGAGCTCCATTGGATAGGACTTTCTCTGTCTCTCTCTGTCTCTCTGTCTCTCTGTCTCTCTCTCTCTCCCTCCCTCTCTTCCTCTTCCCCCCTCCTCCCTCCTCTCTTCCTTCTTTTCTTTTTTTTAAAAAATGGAATGTTTCAGAACAATCATGACTGATTAAACTTGATTTTGAAAATCAGAGTAAAATTCAGCATAGAACTGGAACTAAGTACTGCAATCATCTATACAGTTGTGTTTTTCTTTAAAATAAGCTTCAGGTTGGAAATTTTAGAAAATATTCATGGAAACTTTAGTGGATTGTTTGGTCAGTTTTAAGGATATAGGCTATGTTATACATGTTTTGCCTCCTTTATTTTAGATGTTGTTCATGAACATGGGTAGTAGATGGGGGCTGGGGGAGAATAGATTCGATGAGGTGGCTGTTTAATGTTTTAGAGTTCGATTGTGTGTGTGTGTGACCTCGGAAGTGCTGTGGCTTCTCTCACACAGTGCAGTCCCATCCCAGTTAAGGAGGAGGTTGCCCCCTCCTTGGCTTCTGAGCTGCCAGCAGCATCACTATATGCCTGGACTTGGCTTTTGGCTGCAATCCCCAGCAATATCGGTTAGTAGCTGACTAACGGCTACAAGGTCAATGATGTTGCTACATTGGATCACTTTGTGTTTACTGGTTTGGCTTTTCAATTTACTTAGGTCCCTGTTTCCCTCCAGATGGACTGTGATGTAGGAGAAGGGAATGGACTCCTTTTACTTAAAATCTATCCCAGAGCAGTTGTAAAAACTGGGACTCAGAAGCTTTCTTCAGTTTCTTTACTGCCCCTCCCCAAACCATCTTAAAGCTGCTTGTCAGTTGCAAAGGACTCCAAAAATTCCAGGGAAATGCCTTTATAACAAATATCAATGCAGTGAAGTGGAATGTGCTGTGTGGAGAAGATCCTATGACCCATTTCTTTTGTGTGCTCTGAGTCTGAGAGGGTGCAGTGGTGAAGTCCACATGTCAGCCTCACCTTCTTAGATGGTTTAAAAATTTTTTTAAAAAATTAAGGCAGTGGTTAGATTTTGTCTCAGTAGATACTGTGCAGATAGTATTAAATTTTTTCAAAAGTCCTTAGCCCTTAAATTAGATTGAATTGATTTAAAAACATTTATTTTCCTGAGATGAAGGTTTACTGATGTAGTCCTTTTTACTTTTAAAAACATTTGTTAAAAAGAAAAGAGTTGGGTTTTTTCCCCTTTAAATTTGATGTATTTTAAAACATAATTTTTCCCTGCATAATCTTCTTTAGACTTAAGCATCATGTAGTAAGTTGTACCTCTGTGTAATTTATAGTTAGTATAGATTGGGGTCTTCCCATATTTCATTGTTAAAAATGTTTATGAGGAAAATGCTAGTAATTAAAGGAAACAGTATGGTAATACTTGCTGTCAACAGCTCAAGTAACTGGCTGCAGAAGAACAAAGGCTAAGATTAATTTTAAAAAGCAATCTAGGGTCCTTGTGTAGGTTGCACAATTGGATTTCAGGCGCACAAGATATCCAGCCTGCTGGCCACTTGTGAACAGAGGGACTTTGGGTGCTCACAATGGTTTTTACTATGTGACTGGTTCTAATCACCCTTCCCCTTGCCTTTTGTTTCTGATCTGTTTCAGGACATGGAGGAGTGAATCAGCTTGGGGGGGTTTTTGTGAATGGACGGCCACTCCCGGATGTAGTCCGCCAAAGGATAGTGGAACTTGCTCATCAAGGTGTCAGGCCCTGCGACATCTCCAGGCAGCTTCGAGTCAGCCATGGTTGTGTCAGCAAAATTCTTGGCAGGTAAAGGCAGGAGCTCCAGGCTTCCCTTGATCTTTCAAATAAAGACCTAAAAGGTGATCCAGCAATTGTCCAATGTGTCCATGTTATAATGAGTATCACTGTGGCATTTTGCCCTATGTGCACAGCACTTTAGAGGTTAAGCAGTCTTCTCGAGGCCATCCAGTTCAAAGTAGCTCTGGGAAATGCCTCTGTCAAGTAAGACGTGGAATATGATGACTGAGAAGGGTCTGGTTTCGGAAAGTTTGGTGAATTATTCTAAAGGATGTAAGAGTAAGAAACACTCAGAATTTCCCCTGCCCATCTCAGGTGAGCTCAGGACCCTGGGCAGGGCTGGAATGGAGAATCTGTGAGTTTTAATATCACAGAACCAGAGTTCAATGTTTCTTTTTCTTTTCTTTTGTGGAGATATTGAAACCAAGGCCTTGCACATGATAAGCACATGCTCTCCCATTGAGCTATGTCTCCAGCCCTCAGTGATTCACTTTAATATTTTCAAAGAGCATATTCTACTTTTAAAAGTCAGCCATCATTTTCAATTTTGGGTTATCATCAGCCTCATTAGGTTGAGCTGCAGTATTTTCCTTCTATATGTTTTATTTTCGTTATAGTGGCAGGCATCCTAAATACTCATTAAATTAGAAAGGAGGAAAAAAACCTAACAAACACTAACTCTCAAATCTGACATTTGAAAGTTGCTACTTAACCCAGTGATTTGCTGCAAGCAAAATATTAACATTGACTATTCTCCCAGAGAGATGTACAGCCTTTTAGTGTTACCATTTATTTTTCTCAGTAGCCTCAGTGTGATCCAGTGAAGCATGTTTTAAGATGAGGAAACAAACCAAGTGAGCTGGAGTGACTGACCCAGGTTTATCAGTCGGCTCATGGGTTGGGATGAAGCCTGAAGAACTCCTGGGCCATCTGTGTCTCCCCACATCCCCAGAACATAGCCATAGGTTTGTTTTCAGGAACATAGTTATTCTAGGTCTGCCCTGGCAGGCAGGAGCATGCTCGGGCTTAGCTGGTCAGTGCTTTCTATTTCTTTCCCGGGGCCACAAAACAACCATTGTCCTGTAGCTTGCATTACAGTTTGAGAACAGGTGCCTGAATAAAAAAATAAATATTCTGAAGTATGTAAATGACATTGTGACTTTCTGCTTGTTCTTTCCCTTCCATCTGCTGGAATTCAAGAAATTCTCACAGGTGGAGGGAAGACCGGTGTCAAATAACCTTGCAGAGTCTTGCTTGAGGCCAAAGGAAGGAGGTTCAGGACCTAGGGTCTGGCAGCTTCTTTAGGGCCCTTGATCCCCATGTTTCTTTCTCCTCTTCTTTCCCAGCGCAGATCACCTCAGCTGTGGAGGCTGAGGCTTTGCTCCAGTTTAGCACTCAGCCAGCAAATGAGCCCCAGCCAGGGTTCAGAGAGTATTGCAGGAAATCAGCTTTGTTAGATGGTGGCTTTAAACAGGAGGATGAGAGCTGAGAGTAGCAGAAGAAAGTAGCAGATAGGAAAGTAGAGAAAAGAGAGAGGAAACAAAGAGGAAAGAAAATGATTTTAAAAGGAGAAGTAGAGAGAAGCAAAGACAAGATAAGAGAGAAAAAGAGAAAAATATTTTAGGCTATCTCAGCATCAGACTTCTAGAGCTGAATGAGTCTCAGATATATCTTCTTTCGAAGCTTCTTTGTACTGAGGGGAGAGGGAGAGAGAAAGAAGGCCCTTCCTTTGTTTTTGCTGAGACATCTTTGCTGAGCGGACATTTTGCTTGCTGTTTGAAATCTTCGAGATATCGAGCCTTTCTCCGAGGGGGCATCCAAATCCTGAGTCCTCATATTCTACTGTTCCATGGAGACTAAGGGGCATAGGGACCTTTCCAAGCCCAGATGGCAGCCTCCCACGGCCCAGAATAGATTTGTCACTAGGTAGAGTGGCATTCGGAAGTTACGCGCCGCTCCGGTGCCTGGCCGTTTAAGTTGTCAACAATAAATTGGAATTTCATAGCTCATTATTTTCATAACTAAGAACTACAGTGGACAAAATGTCACTCTAATTAGAACTGCCTTTTAAGAAACAAGTTCAGCCCTAAAACCGTGTGACTGGGAATTTCTGAGCTGGGGCTGTTCCATCCACAGATTTTTTTTTTTGTCACCGAAGAATTTGATGGGCGCTCATGAAATGACAGATTGTAGATAGCGTGCGGTGTATGGTGGCTGTGGTTTTCAGAGGCTGTGTGGCAAGGCAGGCAAAGTCCCTGGGGTAGGAAGGCAGGGACCCCTGTCCCCTCAGGAAAGTGGGCACTCTGCCAGGAATGTGGGCATTCGGTCCAGAGCTCAAGGCTGCAGAGGGGCTGGAGAGGCACAGCTTGGTGACATGTGAGGCTGAGTTAAATCCACCCCAAGTCTGGCTGTTGTCTTCTCCCATTGGAGCCTGGTTATTTGGAATTGGATGATAATTTACACAGTAGAAATAAACATTTTCATGGGGACTTTAATCCTCAACTTGTGCTCTTTATTTTATGCTTTGCAAAAGCTTTTTTGGTATTTTGTCTTCACAACAACCCTACAATTCAAGCAGGGCAAACATCTCCCCACTATGCTGTAGGTGGGATAACTGGGGCCTAGAGAGGCTAAGTGAGTTGGCTGAGATCACACAGCCAGGAAGTGTCAGGACCACTGATAAGCACTGACTGCTTGCCTCCGGAACCAGTGCTCTCTGCACTAAAGGACACTGTGTGTTGGTGGCTGCTGTATGTCTTTTGTCTGTGAGCCAAAGGGCTGCACGGCTGTTTTGCTGAGATGAAAAGAGGGTTATTGAGTCTGAATCCTCACTTGACATAGTTGCAAGTTGGGGTTTTGGGAGGGTCTGTGCTGCCTTCCAAAGGCCTGGCCCATGTGTAAGTCAAACGGGAGACAGAGAACTCTCATGGCAAGACCACAGCCTCCCATGGTGGGCACTGCTCAGGTGGGATGAGTGGGGAAACCCTGAGTGCTGTCACCCACCAGCCATGTATTTGGAGAGGAAGTCTTCATCCTGCCATCCTCCGGTTGCTGTGCCAATGATGCAGTCCCATTTGACAATCATATTTTGAATATTCTACGTCTGTAACTCCTGCCCTGAGACTGTCCCCATCCTAACAGGCATTTCTTGACTATTCATTCAATGCGTGAATGAAAGTTGCATGTGAAAATACCTGTGAAACAGTAAAGCTCTCTACAAATGCAAGGAATCATCATTATTATAATTTAAAAGTTTGTTACCAAAGTAGTAGATTGCTCTAGCAGGAAGAGCACTGAATTCAGAGTCAGGTTTGGAAGCTGGGGCTGCCTTTAGCTTCCAAAAGCTAGATAAGACAGACTTTTGATCATTTATTTCACCTTCTATGAAACCCTGCTAGCCTGAAAGGAGTGGTATAAGGATCAAGATAGTTTGAAGAAAAGCTCTGTAAACTGTAGAGTGCTGTGCCTGAATAATGGGTTGTTGTGTTATAGTAAGAATTGACTTTCTATTATAAAATTGGCAGGACAGTTGGAGTCTGCAGAGATTGTTGTGTGCCTGGGTTTACATCTTTTCTAGATTTTTAGCAGGAAGAACTGGATATTTTGAAAAATCTGTTGTGACTAATAATTTTAGAAAATTGCTTTTAATAGTTTTTCAGAAAGAGGGAAGGATAGGTTGAGTTTTGTTTTATTGTCAAATTTTGTAATGACTTACTCTTCTTAATGAAAAATAGAATTTTCACCTCTACTTCACTGCTCCTAAATTATTTCTCTTCTAAAATATTCACTAACTTGGCCCTAAACAGACTTACTTGGTGCTGAGAATTTCAGCACCTATGAATGTTACCCATTATTGTTCTTGGGTGACATTTCCACCCATCCTAGAATTATCTTATACTCTTACCTCTTATAAACTCTTGTTAGGTCAAAACATTTTTATTTATTTCTAAAATGTCTTTTGATTAAAAAATTTCAACTGTAGGATAGATAATCTCTTTTGGAAGAAGAGGCCAAAAATTTCTCTGTAAATATTAAGAGAGACATCCAGTGACTGCTTATATTTAGAAAAAGCATCGAATCATTTTTTCCCCCTGAAATGATCTTTCATGGCACTCTTCTCCCTGGTCTCAGCTTTACTATAAAACCCTGGCATCCTATTTGCGTTAACGAGGAAAAGCTGATAGCATGGAAATGTCCTTAGAAACAGACATTTATCTCAGAGGAGGTTCCTGGAAGGGCTTCGGAGACTTGGGGTTGGTTTTTCTGATTGCTTGAGTTTTGACTTCCATTAATTCTATTAATTCTGGAATCCAACACTCTTTTTAATTTTACACCAGTGTTATTATTTTCCTTTATGGAAAAATAAGTTGCATTTTAGAGGACAGTTTCACAGAATCTTGGAAATTCTGCTAAGGGATAGGACAGTTGGCAAATCAAAGGCCTATGTCACTTTCTTGGGGAAATTTTAGTTCAACAGTTATATCCTCAGTTCTAGCTTGGCCACTTGTTCTTGGGTGACCTTGAGGAAGCCATTTAACTGCTATGAATCTCTGTTCTATGTCACAGAGAAGTGGCCATTTATTTGTTCACTTATTTATTCATTCAAAACAATTTTTGACCATTAACACAGTTGAGGATCAAATGGGAAAACTAACTTGAAAATTTTTGTAAACTGTAATGTGATAGTTAAATGTGAGTTAACTTTGTCAATATGTAGGAAATATGAGTCATGTAATAACTTTAAAATTTTTCTAGTAACACACAAAGAAAAGTGAAAAAAGGTATAATTACTTTTGATTCATATTTTATTTAACATGATATATAAAATTATCATTTCAACATATAACAAATATAAAAATTATTAGTGAGCTATTTTACATTTTTTTATACTAGGTTTAAAAAATCTGATTTGTAGTTTATATTTGCAGCACATCTCAATTCACACTAGCCATATTTCAAATGTTCATCTATTTTGCTGGTTCCTCATGGCTAAGCTCCTTTCTCCTTGGGTCCTAGGTATTATGAGACAGGAAGCATCAAGCCGGGGGTAATCGGAGGATCCAAACCAAAGGTTGCCACTCCCAAAGTGGTGGAAAAAATTGCTGAGTATAAACGCCAAAATCCCACCATGTTTGCCTGGGAGATCAGGGACCGCCTGCTGGCAGAGCGAGTTTGTGACAATGACACAGTGCCCAGCGTCAGTTCCATCAACAGGTGAGGGACTGGTGCTTGTGGGGGTCTGGGGATTGGGGGTCCTGAATGTTCTGTGTGTATCTTCCCTGAAGATCTGGTGTCTCCTTTTGTCAAAGGTCCTTATGGGTTAGTGAAGAAGAGGGGTACTAATGGGGCGTGCTGAGTCTCTGTTTCCTGTCTCCTCTTTTCTCCAAAGTGGGCAGAAATTGTAGGCCCAGGGAGAGAGGACCACACCAATAGCCTGGTTGCCTGAGAATTGTCAGCCCAGAGTGACTTCCATCACTCCCTTCACCATCCAGCTGTGTGGAGCACTTGGAAGTGAATTGCTTTGAGTAAGCCTTCACAAATGTCCTTGTCCCTGCCAGCCAAGGCTCAACGTCTTAGCACTAGCTTATGTCAGTGGTTCCCAGGAAGGAAATCCTGCCTCTAGTTTGGGCAAAGATTGAGCCAGTGAATGGGGCAACCACAGTTCTCACTTGACATTAGGAGATTTGGCTCCTTGTTCCTGCTCTGTCACCAACTGGAAATAAGACCTTGATGATTTGCTCTGAGAGCCCAGGGCCCTGGTGGTCCTGTTGTGGGTCTTCTATCTCCAAGAATGAGGTCCAGATGCTAAGATGCTATGGAACGAGGGGACTCCCTCTCCTAAACTCCCCCAAATCTCATCCATGGAGAGAGAGAAACACCAGGGTACCAGGCACAGCATCTTTGTGGGAGCCACAATGGCTTCCTCTCCTTTGTAGGCTGATCCAAGCTACAGTAAATGGCACTCAGAGCTTTAAAAATAAAATTTATTTTTATTTATTTATTTTCTTAGCATTGCTGGCAATTGAACCCAGGGCTTCATGAATGCTAGGCAAGCACTCTACTACTGAGCTATACCCTCAGCACAAAAAATGAACTTCTGGAAGGCAATTTTTTTTTTTTTGTACCAGGGATCAAACTCAGGACCTTGCACCTGCGAGACAGGTGGCAGAACCACTGAGCTAAATCCCCAGCCCTGGAAGGCAATTTTTTATTGTAGACGGTGTGGTCTCAGCTTCATTTAAACCCATGAAGTCAGGAACAAGGTTGTGAGATGAACAGAAATGATTGTTCTCAAACTCCACAAGGAAAAGAGAAGCCAGCAGACTGGAAACTTGAACAGTTCCCATTCTTTCACTGGCCTACCGTGATCAGTGAAGAACCTGTCTGGACATAGTGGGGCAGAAAGAGGTGGTCAGGCTGGAGTGTCCTGAGGTTTCTTCTAGTCCTGACATCACCCCTTCTGTGATGACTCCAATGTACAGAATCACTGTGTGAGGAGATGTGTTGATGGTTTGTAGACACTTGCCCTGTTTTCTTTCTCTTGGCCAACCTTTACCAGGGTCCTGGGATCATGGAAAATGCTGAGGAGATAGAGGGGAACTGAGCACACAGCTTCTCAGTCTGCGTCCTAGAGAGGCTCCTCATCTTGACTGGAATTCGGCTGTGCACTTAGAAGTCTGCACAGCCTGGATAAACTTGCTGAGGATGTAGGAATGATTATATGGTTTTGGGGTGGAGATGGGGGAATAATATTTGTTCTTTTTCTGGATTATGAAGTGCTCCAATTTGTTTTGTGAGTCTACTACATCTGTCTCATCTAAGGATTTCTATAACCCAAAAAGCAACATGACTTTTTGGAGCCTCCCAAAGCATGAATGTGGTGACACATATAATTAAAGCAATGTTGGAGCAGTTCTGCTCTGCAGAGGAATCTTGGTCCAAATACTGGTCAGGTTTTGGGGACCCATTGCTTTACCAGTGTACAGTATACATATAATTAGGTGGTTCACAAGATAACTTTAGGCACACCATGAGGATCACAAACTCTAGAGCCTTATGTGGGGCCAGACAGACAATGTAATGAAGGAAGCTGACCAGGCATAAGACTTAGAGAGTGGTAGGGTCTGTGGCAACTTAGACAACACAAACTCTGTTAAGGAACATCTGCTTCTTAGCTCCAACTCAATGCTGGCAGGAATGTGGGCCCAGTGTTTGCCAATTTTGTTGTTATTCTTCAAGAGAAGCCTGAAACTAGGACCCATGTATATGTATTTATGTGCGTGTGTGTGTGTGTGTGTGTGTGTGTGTGTGTGTTTGCATATGCGCAATCTCTGTGTTTGTTTGTTTCTGGGGATTGAACTCAGGGTCTTTGCACTCAACTATGCTTTCAGCCCTTTCTAAACATTTTTTATTTTGAGACAAATTCTCACTAGGTCACTAAATTGTCCAGGCTGGACTTGAACCTGTGTTCCTCCTGCCTCAGCCTCCCAGAGTCCTGGGATTATAGATGTGTGTCACAGCTAAATCTCTGTATTTTTAAGTGGTGGAAAATAATTTCAAGTATAATCCATTTACAGGGCCCTCTGTAATGCAAGGATAACAATTGACTTGTGATGAATTTATTTTCATGTATTTTAGAAAAATGTAAGCAGCACACCAAACTAGTGAGTTTATGAACTTTGCAAACTTTTTCTCACTCACTTATAGGAGGGGAAACTGCAATTGCCATATAAAATACATTTATTTAAATGAAAAAGTAATCTGTCTGAAAGAAACACATGGAGCAAAGAGAGCAGTGATTATAGATGTGTTGAGGCTGTGCAGGGGGCACTTGAATGAGTGGTACAAGGACATCATTGATCAGCTGATGCTTTGTGCCTGGACCTTTAACTGTGCTGTTCTGGCTGCCTAGATATCTCAAACTGATTCAAAATGTTTACCTTTCATGGTCATATTGACTTTGGAGAAGAGCTAGAATTTGCACAGTGCCAGATCCAGGGAAAAAGGTGGATGAGGATAAGAGACGGTATTTTTACAAACCTGCCTTTCTGCTGCATGGTACTCAGCAGCACCATTCACTACATTTTTTATCACACCTTGTAAAGACACTCTGGAAAGAGGACTTCCAGAACTGCTTAAGAAAGTGGCAAGAACGATAAGTATGTTCAGAGAGAGAGGAAGTGTTTTTAGGGGGATTAGTGGCAATGTGCCTTTAATTGTAGCAATCATTTTAAATATTCACCATATATTTCAGTCACACCTCATATAGAAACTGAGGGCCAGATGGGGAGTGGGAAGGGAAGATTACCTTGAGAAGGAGATAGGAGTAGAGTGGATGGTAAAAAGAGAGCTGGTCTGAGTCCATCACTGTCCTAAGTGACTTGGTCGGCAACAGAGCAAAGGTTCTATGAGAAGAGAGGCAAAGAAGAGTAAAATAGTCATTCCACCTCCCCTTCAGAGCCTTGTAGCTGACATGTTTTCCTGCTTGTCTCCTTGTCCCTTGGATCTTTAGCCCATTCCAGTGCTCCTCTCTGGGGGCTCCTGTCCGGAAGCACTCTGGCTTCTCACTGCACCCTTCAGCAAGAGCCCACTAAATGTGGACAAATCTTATTCTGTTGCATGTCACCCACAGAAAATGTGAGCCATAGTGCCATCCATGTTATCTTCCACAGGAAAGCAAAACTCCCATTGTGTTCAAATGCATGCAGCTTCTAAATCCCTCCCTCACAAATGTCATTCTGCAGGAGGGTCCACAGCTCTCCCCTAGCCTCTGCCTCCTTTGGAGGCCATTTCCCACTGTTTCACGTTTCAAGCAGGTTGGGAAGGTGTGATGGCTGCATTTGTAGCTCTTCTGGTGGCCGTTGGGTCCTCTCCACTGTCCATCCATAGAAGTGTGTGCCCCTCTGCTGTCTTCTGGGACTGACCCAGGAAACCATGATTGACAGGGATTTAAGCGCCACTGAGTGTGTTCTGCTAGGCTTGTGGGAAATTTCTTGGGACACAAACCACCTTATTTGGCTTCTGAAGAACCAATATGTGCTGGGGTGCTGTACAACCTACATGAGAGCTTCTTAGAATCCACCTTGAGTGTCAGTTGGAGGTGGCTGTCCCAGAACTGACCAAAACGATAGGAACAGTGTCTTCCCTCTTCCGTTTGAGTCCCATGGCTCTAAATCAGGGGCCAAGTAGTGGGGACAACAAATGGTATTCCTAGTAAAGAGGGGCAGTGGTGTTTAGCGCCACCTGGTCGCTGTCACGTGAAAACATGGAGCCAGCATTGTTGGGTGTTCTGACTTTTCAAGAGAAGCTAGAAATCAGGTATTTGTGGAAAAGCTCACAACTCATACATATTAGCGATTAATTGGAATAAAATAGACCCGGCACGGGCTGAAGGTAGCCCAGGGGCAACAGTTTGTTAATTCTTCTTTTAATCCTAACTTTGGGAGCAAGTCTTCTGAGATTGCTTACTTGCTCCTTCTTCTCCACATCAGTTGCAGCCTGGGTGCCACCTGGGCCCTCTCCTAGCCTGGCCCAGCTAGACCCCAGGGTTTCATATTCTCAGTGCAGTTGATGCTCCATGCTTCTTTCCACACTGATGGCAGTTTCATCAGGGCCAGAGGAGTATATGTTTCTTCAGCATTGTCACCTCCTTTTTTAAGGCTCCATGATTTTCTCTTCCCATGCAATTTTTGTGAGGGGGCAGTCGGAGAGGATGATGAGAAGACCTCTAGCTTTTCAGAGGAAGGAGAGTGGTGTTGAAGTGGGATTCATAAGTGTCTGTAATATGTGAAGTTCCTTGGAGTTTTAACCCTCAAATGGTAAATGGATTTTGAATCAAAATTGGTTTTATGCTTCAGCTAGGAAGTATTTAGCAGAGGGACCACCTCTTTTAAATGTTGCTCAAAGTGCTCAGGCATGGGAGCTGGGCATCTTAGTTGATTTGCTGTGTGTCCCCGGGCTTTCTAGGAAAGGTTGATGGCTAAAGTTCTTCTCTGTTGTACCAGAGGATGTTCATACACCATCCAAAATCATGTTTATGCTTTGTAACATAAGAATGAACCTCTTTTTTCTTTTCTTTGCAGTGCTGGTGATCAAACCAAGGGCTTTGTGCATTGCTAGGCAAGCCCTCTACCACTGAGCTACATTCCCAGCCCCAGGAAATACCTTTTAATGTTGACTGTCAATCAGTTCCAAATATCTTTGGGCTAGAAAAGCCCAGAGTGTGTTCTTATTGGGACAGATTGGGAATTTCTATAATTCAATAAACCTTATTCTTCTCATTATCGTCTCTTCTCAGTGTATGATAATGCTTTTTGTTTTTACCTGGTGGTTGCCACTGCAAGCAAATGGGTAAAATCTCTCACTCCTGTGGGCAGGTTATAGGGTCCCCTATAATTCTAGGATCCCTCATAAAGTACCATTGTAGCCCTAAAATAGGGGATGAGGGTGGCCACTTTTCCCTTCCTAGCTCCCAAAGGGGACCCTTATGTTTTTTAAAGAAAATATGGAAAGTATGAAAGTTTTAAGGTTGAAACTGGCATTAGTCTTTATAAAGAAATAGATGAGAATAACAATATTTAAAGCTTATTGAGCATTTACTACATACTTCTAAGTAGTTAATTATTTCTTTTTCTTTTTGGAGGGTGGAGGTTGAAACAGGGTCTTTTTTTTTTGAACAGGGTCTTGCTGTGTAGTTTAAGCTGGCCCTGAATTCACTATGTAGCCCAGGTTGGCCTTGAACTTGTGATAACTCTTTCTGCTTCAGCCTCCCTGTGCTGGGATTATAGGCATGCACCACCATACCTGGCCTAAGTAGTTACTTATTTCAATCCTAATAAAAACCCTATGAGGAGTTCGATCCCCGGTACCAAAAAAAAAAAAAAAAATCTTATGAGGTAGCATGATTCTTAGTCTTATTTTGCAGATGAAGAAATTGAGGCATAGAGAAGTAATTTACACAAGGTTATGTAGCTAGTAAATTGCAAGGCTGGAATTCAAATTCTAGTAGTTTGGTTTTGGAGCCTATGCACTTAATCACATGATGTAGCTGTTTGTCAATGATTTATAACAATTGATAAGCTTTACTGGTGGTTTATAAATATTTTAAAAGAAAATATAATTTTCTTACTTTTGTTTATGTACAAATTTAACAAAAAGTTAGGGCTTTACGCTTACTTCAGTGGAAAGTAATTATGATATATCTCACCTCATATTTAATATGTAGATAAGATATATTGATGTCTGACATAGCCGTATATTCACCTATCTGGCTATATCTCTATATCTGCAGAGAAGATGACATACACAATAAGTTAGATCAGACACCAACTTAATCTGAGGTGGTGAAAAAGACTGCCTTGCTGCCATGTCTTTGTCCAGTGCATGCTTTGTTTGCTTAGTTAAAATGAATAGTTTGAGTATTGGAGAAAACAAAAACACACACATACTCTGAATGTATTTAAGGCAATACTTGAGCTGACTCATCAGAAAAGGGCAAAACACTCTTGCTGCACTCAAGTAGCCAGGGGTACAGAGGGCCTCTGTTTGGGCTGTAGGGTGAACAGAAAAGTCCATTATAGGCCATTAACTGAGGATACTCAGTTCTCTGGGTGACCAGTGCCAAATTGTAAGGTCAGGGAGGGCAGATCCTACTGCATAGTGAGCTTAAGGGGAGGCACCTGCAATTATATTTTTTGGACTAAGGATTGAACCCAGGTCTTCCCACTGAGCTATATCTCTAGCCATTGTTTTGTTTTGTTTTGTTTTTTATTTTGAGACAAAGTCTCGATAAGTTGCTAAATTTCTGAGGCTGCATGGAGCTGAGGCAGGAGGATCATTGTGAGTTTGAGGCCAGCCCAGGTTGCATAGTGTGTTAAAGGGCAACCTGGGTTACAAAATGAGTTCAAGCTCAGTTTGAACTACAAAGTGAGACCCTGTCTCAAAAAACCAAAAAAAGAAAATAATAATAAATTTCCCATGCTGGCTCAAACTTGCCATCATCCTGCCTCAACCTCACAGAGTGCTGGGAATACAGGCAAGCAATGCTATGTCCAGCTGGCATCTGTTATTTCTGTCCTTCTTCATTTGCACAAGCTGGAGATACAGTGCAGCCTTGAAATGAACTTCCAGTTACTGTATAATGGTCTGGCATGGGAAAAAAACTTCTCATCAAATGTGTGTGAAGCTGGGAATGGTAGTACATACCTGTGACCCCAGCACTCTGGAAAGCTGAGGCAGGAAGAGTACATATTCGACCCCTGCCTGGGGAACTTAACAATTTAGGGAGACTGTCTCAAAATAAAAAAGACGGGGGATATAGCTCAGTGTGAAGATCCTGGGTTCAATCCCCAGTACTGGGGGGAGGAAGGGTGTGCATGAAAATAGTAGGATACAAAACCATATGTGGTTTAATTTTGGTTTTGTTAAGAGAAAATGGGTATTTCTTTTTTCTTTTTTTTTTTTGATATCAGGGATCAAACTCAGGACCTTGTGCTTGAAAGGCAGGCAGCAGAACCACTGAGCTAAATCCCTGGCCCCAAAATGGGTATTTCTAAATATGCATAAGAATGAGGCAAAACTCTACTAAATGTCCTTTTAAAAGGTAATAGTTTGAGGCTGGAATAGAACTTTTTCAATGAGGCTGAGCAATGTATTACAACATACCCTCCTTCCAAATTCCAGGCAAGGAGTTTCCTTGTAGATCCCAAAGAGAATTTTGGGGTGGCTTTGTTCTGTACTCAAAGAAGCATTGGTCCTGTGTTCTCCTGGGGGTCCCGTGCATTGTCCCAGATGGATGTTTATAATCTAGACTCCCTAGAGCCCAAGTTTCTGCAGAACATCCAGGCTACCAGGTGGCAAAGTGAAGGGAGTTATGGTTATTATCTTGTTGGTATATTGGGCTTTTCCATAAGATTTGTTTACTTTTCCATAAGATTTTATTTTTTTCTTTGAAAAGGATTTAATTATTTAAAATAAACAAAGAGGGGCCTGGGATTTAGCTCAGTGGTTCCGCTGCCTGCCTAGCAAGCACAAGGACCCAAGTTCAATCCCTGGTACCAAAAAAAAAAAAAAAGAAAAAAGAAAAAGTAAAATAAACAAAGAATGGTTTGTTCTAACTCTTCTGTCATTGTATTGAAACTCATGATGGGATAAACTTGCTCAAGGTCACCATCAAACTCATATTAGAAGTGGAGCAGGGTTCTGGAAAGACAGGCCAGGGTTCCTAATCTCCTCCACCTCAGTCCCTGCCCCAACTTGGGTATGGCATTTATAGTGGTCTGAACTTGGCTAGTTCTGGTCTCTCCTCCTTCCTGATGGTAAATAGCTGTTTGTTTTTTCCCAACCACCCACAGGATCATCAGGACAAAAGTACAGCAGCCCCCCAACCAGCCAGTCCCAGCTTCCAGTCACAGCATAGGTAAGAAGAACTTTTAAAAAAAATTTGAAAATCTAATGGGCTCCAAATATTCTAAAGAACTTTAATCATTCATATGGACAGATAATTCTGCATAAAACACTTCGGCACACGTACTAATGCGCCTTCTTTGTCATTCTCCAAGGGCTGAACCTGGTAAATGAATTTTATAAATACTGCTAAAAGGTTTTGAATTTTACTGATTATTATGATAAATAGCTTTCACCATGAGACAGAAAATTGAAATCTAAGCCAAAAAAAAAATCCACTAATGGGGGTCTATAGAATGTCAGATAATTAAAGTAATAAATCAAGAAAGGGATACTTATTCATAACATTTTCTGCATCATTAGTCAGTAAGTAGTTTTGAATGTGTTTTTTTCTTCTATCAACCAGACCTTCTACAATTCTTTGTGCACTTGCAGTCTTGAGTGAAGATGAGGCAAAACTTTCCAAACTTTCTTTCTCTCTTTCTCTTGCTTTGATCTCATGTACTCTCTGAACTGTCAAGGGCTGCCAGTGGGGTTTCCGACCCTCACAGCTGAAGTCTGAGTGACCATGACTTACTATGAAATGTAAGTCTGCCCAATAATGAACCCTAAGCCCTTCTCCTACTACTCAAGAGTACAGATATTTTCCTTGCCTCCTCGTCAAAGATGAATTGAAAATGACCTGTGTCTATTTAAGGCACATTGGTTCTCCATTTGGGACAAAGGAAACACCTCTGGCTAGCCAGCTGAGGGGGAGGTTATTCTACTGCAAGAAAATAGGCAGCCTTTTAGCAAGCCTCTCACACTTCTGGTGAATCTGCATAATCACACTTCAGAGTGTGCATACCTTCATCAGTGTCACTCTTTCTTTAACTAAAAAGGTGGATTTCCCATGGTGGTGGGGGAACTGGCAGAGGGCTGGCTTATCGTTCCATTCTGTCCTTAATTCACCTAGTGGATTGTGAAAGTCCCTTCACCTCTCTGAGCCTCAGTTTTCTCATTGGTGAATGGAGAGCACAAACCGGGTACTCTCAGATCTCTGATCCTCCAAGCTTGTTTCCTTGGAAAAGGTAAGAGAGAATTCCTTGCTGCCATGAGATGATTCTTCATTAAACAATGCCTTCAGAAAATATTTGCTAACCCACATTGTGCAGACAGATGGTGGCATTGGAGACCAGTGCTAAAAATGAGGCTGGACAAAATCCTGTCTTCATCAGTCCGTGGGTAAACATAATGAAGAGAAATTTGCAAAACACTGAGATGAAGCCCAAGAAGAAAGTTTGGGTGCTGAGAAGCAGAAAGGAGGGAACCCCCAGCTATGTTGAGCTGGGGTGAAAGGGCTGAGTGAGACTTCCTGAGGGGTTGGTATTTGTGGCTGAGATTTCATTTGTGGCTTTAACTGTTTCAGGCCAGGTAGTAATGAAACTCAGACTAGCACTAATTGATACTATTCTTTGAATAGGTTTAAGGGACTAATTCTATTGTAGGTCAGCAAAACAGGTTTTTTTGGCCCAGAATTGTTTTCCCCCAATACTAGGGATTTAACCCAGGGTCTTTGCACTGAGTTACATCCTCAGCCCTTTTTATTTATTTGTTTATTTAGCCAGAGTCTCAGTAAGTCACTAAGTTGACCAGGCTGAACTCGAACGTGCAGATCTCCTTCCTCAGCCATCCAGAGAGCTGGGATTATATGTGTGCACCATCATGCCAAGCTCTCAGAAATTTTTACTAAAACCATATAGACATGTATATAGCCCCTTATAGTTGATGAACTTATTGAGCAGTGAGGAAAATGAGGCTTAGGGAGATGAAACAACTAGTTTAAGATACTGTTACTAGGAAGAGGTGGAGCCAGAAGTGGAAGCTGGGTCTTTTGAGCCCAGTGCAGTCACAAAATACCTAACCAAGTGTTCTCACCTCCCGCCAGTGATGCAGCGGGCTGGGCTGGGTGGGGGCTGTTGCTGTCTGAAGTACCAAGTGATCCTCTTCCTCTGTTCTTTTCATGTGAATACCGAAAAGGTGGTGAGATTTACATAAATCTATTTTGAGAAGCTTTTTTTGTGAAGGAAAAGAGAAGTTAACGATTTCTGCCTCGTGTCTCTTAAGAAAGATCTAAGATCAAACTCAGATATGAGAAGAAAGGCACTTGCCCTCTAGGTCTGTAGGAGCGAGGCACTGGACCCACTCCAAGGAAAGTAACTAACAGCTTCTCATGAGGTCACCACCACTGCTAGTAATTCCCTATACTTCAGGATCCGGGGCCACACCACCTGCTTCCAGCCAGTTACAGTCCAAGATGTGTCTGAGATTGGTGGGTAGGTTTTAATAAACCAAGAAAGAATTGCCACAGCCCTGAAATGGGACCCAGCTGCAGCTGGAGAGGACCCTTATGAAGACTGATCTCCCTTAGGCTCCGGATGTGAGTCAATGCAGAACTTGTCTAAAATTCCCCTCCCCCTTTCTTGTCCTTGGGGACTTAGAGACCTGGCCTCAGGCACAATGTCACTGACTTCACCCCAAGTAGAGACGGGAAATCTAGGCTTTGAGTTACTAATGACCTGAGGCTAAGTTCAGGTGCTGTGGTTTATCAGCTGGATGACTTTGAATCACTTCATCTTGTGGAGCCTCAGTTTCCTCATTTGATAAATGGTGAAAAATAATAGCCCTCTGGGCTGTTCAATCATCAAATGAAGAATGTTGTAGAGACAAAGCTATTATTGTGCTTCCTTATGAATTAGTAGGGAGCAGATTAGTTTTAGGAGGTAAGACTTTGTCTCCAGGTTGCAATCAGTACTCTGCCTGTTTTTTTTAAAATTTTTGAGACAAGTTCTCACCCAAATTGGCCAGGCTAATTTCCAACTTGGGACCCTTCTGCCTCAGTCTCCCAAGTAGCTGGGATTACAGGCCCACTCTATCTCTTATTAGCTGTGTGACATTGGGTGAGTCCCTTACCTTTCCAATGGGGTAATAATATCACCTAGCTTGCAAGAGTCTTCTCAGAATTAAATAAGATAATGTCTCAATGCCTGGCACAGAATAAGTTCTCAGAAAACATAAGGTATCATATTAAAATTAACAAAAAATAAAAAATCCAAGTAAGTTGGAAAGAGAAAAGACAAGAAGGAACTATAAAGATGGGCAGCCTGCTGTTTGGCTGCCTGAGAGAGCGTGTGCAGGTATTTGTCTGTGTGCATGGATGGGCCTGTAGGCAGGACTGAACATATGTCAAGTGCAGGTCTCCATGTCTTTGTGGCACCTCTTTCACTTCTCCATTCCCTGCTTCCTGCTGGCTGGATTTGAGTACGTGCCCTTTCTACTCCGTCCCTGAGCTTCCTTCTGAATGGTCTGTCTTCCTTGGTGCCCATTTTCCTGTCATCTTCCCTGCAGCACAGAACCTGGGTAAGTGGCTGAGGCCTGTGCAGTGGCTGCCACATGCCAAGGATCTTCAGGCTGGTGCTCTCACTCCTGCCATAGTTGCTCTCAGCCCAGAATGTGGCACACACTTTTGTGACAGATTGCCCCGGTGCCCTCCACCCTTCAGCCCCTTGCTGGCTCTGACGGCCCCTCTCCCTCTGTGCAGTGTCCACGGGCTCCGTGACGCAGGTGTCGTCAGTGAGCACGGACTCAGCTGGCTCTTCATACTCCATCAGTGGCATCCTGGGCATCACTTCCCCCAGTGCTGACACCAACAAGCGCAAGAGGGACGAAGGTAAGAGGCAGCCTTTGTGGCCGACAGGGATGGACCCGATGGGATGGAATCCGTTGGGGTGCTCAGTGAGAGAGGAAGCAAAGGTGCCCACTTAACACCCTTTTATCTGCAGAGGACCAAGTCCAAGTCCGGGGGACAAGGTGGGGCAGACAGGCACCTAACTGGGAGGGTGGGTTGCTTGCTTCTCTTGTCTTCACTCCTTGGGTGGAGAAAGAGGCCTGGAAGAGCCCTTGTGGCCTGAGCTTTGTGGCCTTTAAGAAGACCCTGTGTGTCCAGATAGCACACCTGAAATCCCTGTGTGCAGAGGGTGTGAGTATGACGCCAGTGTCTGCTGTGTGGGGGACGGTGGAGAAGAGAGAAGGGGGTGGACAAAGCCGCCACCAACCTGTCCCGCAGTGAGAGGGGCACATGTTAGGGGTGGTGGCATACTTCTCAGGAGAAAGCCTTCAGCTGTAGTGAAGGTGGAGGATAGAAGAGAGCAATAAACATCTCATTTTTTTCTTTAGGCCTGGAAGGAATGAGTGCAGGGGCCTCCGGGGGATTAAAGATGACAATCTTCCTAGTTGTTTTTTGTCAGCACCTCGGTGTGCCAGGCCCTCCCTGGGCCTCTGGAGCCTGCTATCTCTGTGTTAGACACAGGGCCACCTTAACCCAGGTCTCCTTCCTCTGGATGGGCTGCCAGTGTGGCTGACATTAGTCGGTTTGAGAGGAGAAGTGACCCCCTGGGAGTCTGTAAAACCTTAGTCAGGAAAGGAAAAAGAAGAGGAAAGAAAAGAAAAAGGCTGTGGTCTAGGGCCTGGGAGCAGCATGACAGAAATCTTGATTCAATTATTCTGTTCCTTGGCACAATTCCCTTTCTCAGCTTCATGTAAGGGAGGTATGTTCTCGGGAGCACATGCCTAAGTACTTAAGATCTGTAACTAGAAAACTGAGTCAGCCCCATGGTGGATTGCCCTGCAGTCTTCGTGTTCCAGGCAGTGCAGAAGCTGGGCCTTTGGCTGGTGTGCAGCTGTGGGGGCATGTGGTGATGATTCATGGCTTGTGAACCTCCCTCACCTCTCTCCCCTGCTCCTGACAATCCCGAGCAGATGTCAGAAGTCTTTAGCTCAGTGGGTTGCTGGGCCAGGCTGCTGTGGGAGGCAGTGGGCCTGCCATTTCTGTTGGTTTATGAGGTTGATGATATCATCCTTTCTCCTTCCATCACCTGGCCTTGCAGCAGATGTGCCAAGCAGGGGCCTAGCTGTGTTTGATCACGGCAGAGGGATGGTTTGTATGAGGCTCACTTGAAGTTGAGGGAGAAAGAAGAACAAAAAAATCTAGATTTGCTCTGCATGGTGATGCATACCTTTAATTCCAACCATTTGGGAGGCTGAGGCGGGAGGCTTACAAGTTCCAGCCCAGCCTAGGCAACTTAGCGAGAAACCCCATCTCAAAATAAAAAATAAAAAGGGCTGGGGATATAGCTCAGTGGTAGAGGAGTGCCCCTGGGTTCAATCCCTGGTACTGAGGAGGGAAAAAAAGACAATGTTATGTTGGGCCACAGGCAGGTCTTGATTTGGGGGATTGCTTATGGTGTTTGTGGAATACAATATAGTCTTAGTCTCTGATCAGTGCTTATTATTTGGCCTCTCAAACTGCTTTCATTTTATGTTTTGGAGGGGTGTTATTTTTATTTTTGAGACAGGGTCTTGCTATGTAGTCCAGGTTGCCCTTGAACTCACTATGTAGCCCAGGTTGGCCTTAAACTCGAGGTGATCCTCCTGCCTCAGCCTCCCAAGTGCTGGGATTACATGGGTGCAATACCATGCCCTGATTTCAAGCTGCTTTTAAATATGTAGAGTCATCACAGCATGGTTGGTGTTACTCTTGGCTACTTTCTGCTGGTCACATATTTCCCTGGGGACTGTGGCCCATTTGGGGTGTTGATCTTTAAAAGGGGCAGTGACAAATTGGGTTTTTGTTCAGGTGAGCATAACCTGAATGGAGAGGGATCTAGATGCAGCACCTAGGGAATACCTCAAGACTGTTTTGGCACAAAGAGGAGCAGAATAAGCAGACTAGATTATTGCCTTCAAATATTTGGAGGACTGACATGGAAGGGAGGAATGAGACTTTGTTGTGTGGCCTCACAGGCCAGTGTATGGCAGTTGCAGAGATTTCAGCTCAGTGTAAGAAAGAATCTACATATGAAAGTGGTCTAGGGCTGGAGATTTAGCTCAGTGGTTCAGCTGCCTACCTCGCAAGTGCAAGGACTGGACTTCCATCCCCAGTACCAAAAAAAAAAAAAAAAAGAAAAAAAAGAAAGTGGTCTAGGAATAACAGGATACACTGGGAGGTAGAGTGCCCCATCTCTAGGACTAGGTCAGCAGGCTAAATGGCATTTGGCTAGGCTGCTGTAAAAGAGTATCTAGAATCAGATGTGGAATTGGATAAATTTTGCAGTCTTTCTGGTTCTGAAATTTCTGGTAGAATTCTAATCCCCAGGAAGACACGGAGGTAGTCCAGCCTGTGGCCTGTTGCCTAATGGAGATGCCTTGATGGTCTTCAAGCTCACAGGATGGAGAAGAGAGGGGCACCAAGCAGCAGCCAGTGCCTCGCCCTCACTCCTGCCCACCTCCCTGAGAGTGTTCATGGTTAAGCAGAAAGGCAGGCAGAAATGCCCTGGCTCACATCAGGGAAGGGTCTGGGAAGCACTGTGTTGGGTCCCTCCTGTCCTTCCCATCCTCCCTGGTATCTCCTTGGGTCCCTGAGCTGGCTCCATGGGTAGATGAAATGGCAAAGATTGCCACTTTTGTTTCTTTTAGGGGAGGTAACTGAGACCCCAGAGAGTTCTGGGACACTGGCAAAGCTACACACCTGGTATGGACTGGGGAGTCGGGAGGAATGGAGGCCCCTTGAAGCCTCTGTCCCCTGTATGGCTGGCTGCTTGTTGCCCCTCAGCACCTCCTGGCCCTTTGGAGGTGGAGCACTGTGGGGTGGGGCAGAGTTTCAGCAGGAGGGCACAGTGATTAGGTTGGATACTACTGGGAGAAGATACTACTTTAAGGAGAGCAGGAGAAGTAAGAACCAGCCACTGAGAGGACACCAAAATGGCTGGTTATACCAGCAGCTGGTCCAGTGAAGCTGCAGATCATGGATTTGTGGGGTGCTGGCTTCCAGGATGGTACAATTTTTCTCAGGAGCCCGCAGCAGCTTGAGGGATGAGTGATGGAATAAGAGAGGTGTTAGAAGGTCAGGAGGAAAAGAGAAAGACAGCTGAGTGTCTCACCCCATTTCTCTGATGAGGTGACAGGATGACTGAGGCTTTATAAGGCAGAGCCACCGACTCGTCTCCCCGGTTGCAGTCGTCTCTGACTTGGGCATTTCCTGGGACCTTTCTCCCACCCAGACCTCAGCACAGGGGTGGGCAGTGACAGGGTTCAACTAGAGCGGATGGGCTGGTGGTCAAAATTGCAAATCCAAAGTCCCTCTGATGGGTAGTGAGGTGAGAGAGCAGCAGGAGAGAACAAGGTGAGGATGGGCCACTTTTGATCCAAAGAATCTGGGCTGGCTCCTCATAGAAGGTGCTGCTGGAGGACTTGGTAGAGAGAAGTGATAGGATTCCAGTCAAAGGCAGGAGAGAGTGGGCACACAGGAGGGATCAGCATGAAGGGCTCAGAAAGGAAGAGAGGTGGCAAGTAAGGCCAGGGTGGTCCAGCATTGACCTTAACCGACTTTTAGTCTGAAAACGGTGGGGAGATGGCTTTGATGATTTAGGAGACTCAAGAGACATGTGCTGTGGCCAGGAATGGTGTCATAGGCCTTTAATCCCCGTCTCTTGGGAGGCTGAGGCAGGAGGGTCAGAAGTTTGAGGCCAACCTGGGCAACTTAGTGAGACCATGTCTGAAAATAAAAAAGGGCCAGGGAGTAGCTCAATGATGCAGTGTTCCAGGGTAGATTCTGAGTACTGAGAGAAAGAAAAATGAAATGTAAAAAAAAAAAGAAAAGAAACACATGGTGCATTGAGTGATTTGTATATTAGGGTAGACATAAAAGTGATTAGCTCAGAAATATCCAATAGAAACAAGCCACATATATAAAGTAAATTTTCTAGGAATCATATTAAAAGAAGAAAAAAAAAGTGGAATTAGTTCTAAGGACACATTTTATTTAGTTCAATATACTCCAAAATATTATCATTTCAACATGTAATCAATATACTTGATCCTAGCCAAAAGGCTGAGAAGCGATCAAATGTAACTAATATAAAAAATGTGATGACATGATTTTCCCTTTTCTGATACTAAGTCTTTGAAATATGATGTGTATTACACTTATAATACACCTGAATTTGAATGCTAAACACTTGACAGTTGAAGTTAAATGTAGTCAGTCCCACCAAAACAATAAAGTTGTGTTTAGTGGAAAAATATTTTCCATGGCTTCTGTTTTTAAACTTAAATTACTTACTTTGAAATGAAGTGAAAGTTTTAGTTCCTCAGCTGCACTAAGCTACATTTCGAATGCTCAGTAGCCACAACACTCTAATGTATTAGACAATACTGAGTACAAAGTAGGTGCCCAGTAAATGCTCCTTGGTGGAATGGATTCCTCACATGCTTTTAGAGTGTTCACAATTAGTGAATGAATGAAGAGCTCCTAGTCTATAGAAAGTCCCATTGAAGATTTCTGTAGCACAAAGAAGCTAGAACACTGTCAGCCTAGCAGATTGACAAGGGCCCGTTCAGACTAGAAATATACTAGGTTTCTTTCCAGGATGCCTCTAAAACCAGACTCGGGGATGTGGCCCCTTTGACTAAATCTCAGATGAACTATTCAGTGGCTGAAGCAAGAAGTTCGGTCCCTGTGGCCTGAAGGCAGAGCTGGGTCTGTCTGAGGGAAGCTAAGAGTAAGGTACAGCTTCTGAACAACAACAAGCCAGGCTGGGCCACAGATAGAAGGATTATCTTGGAATGATAGTGAGTACTCCATTACCAGAGGTGTGAGCAGAGGCTGAATGA